AAAAACCTGTGGTTTCTTTCGAAGTCAATTAGGTTCATGGGTTTACTCTGGCTTAAGCCATCTAGTTTCTTATGCACTCTTTACTGCTCGACTCTGATGCTGGTGAATTGTACCATCAGGCTGTGTGTCTGCAGAACTCCGATATTTTGGACCTCCAAAGCTCCAATTACCACTATATGTCTACGCATCTGTGTGAGTATTGAATACTTTCTTGGATCCAGCTGGGTAAATCCATAACTTGCGCTATTCGTTGTAAGAGAGGGTAGAGGCTTTGATTTGTCTTTTTCATATATCTACTGCTTCCATTTCTGTACGATCATCACCAATTGCGCGTCGGAGCCTGCGACGAGAGTATCGGACTCTGCATGAACTGCCAGAGCTTTCCTCAGCTGAGATCCAGACACGATGGCAGTAGGCCACCCAGCCCCTTAGAAAAGCCATTGGAAGAAGACGCTCCTAGCGAGCCGAAATGGGTCGAGATCTGGCTACCTGAAGATTCACTGTAACGCTCATACTCAACCGGGTCGCGATGGATGCGATCGTGGCGGAAGTTCCAGCGATTGACCACCGCATCATTGCCACCGGGGAAAACATACCTAGGAGATGCAGAGTCCAGCGTCAGCATTCGAACGGCACTTTGGTGGTATCCCTCTGTGCGGAATGGTGCGTCAAATTTATCTCGATCCCAGAAACTGATGCTGCCGTCATCAGCGCCCGATATCCCGATGCTGTTATCGCTTTCCCGCTTGTAGCTGTGGTTTGACTGGAAACAAAAAGCTTTTCGACCTTTTGCAGCCTTCAGAGCTTGCTGTGGATGAAACCTCGCGTCGAAAAAGTCGCTCCGATGCTGCAATGGGATGATACTTAGTTCATCGCACCAGCCGGGATATTGAAGAAACTAGCGAGAAGAAAATTGTGCATAAGAAACTAGATGGCTTAAGCCAGAGTAAACCCATGAACCTAATTGACTTCGAAAGAAACCACAGGTTTTTTCCAGCCCTGTGTAGCATTGCTGTGGAGAACAATAAAGTGTAATCGTATTGGCGGAAGGTGGTAACGGCATAAATATTCTATGAAAACGCGCCTG